GGGTGCGACCGCATCCCATCGCATCCCCCTGGCTACGCCTATGCGCTATATTAATATAACAAGGTTATCAATATCATGCCAATAGTTACCCTGCGTGCAGAGTCTACATGTAGTTAAACTACAAGACGAAGACGAAGCTCTATTTTAAGAAGTGAAGTCAAACGAATGCAAATGGTAGCCAATACTTAGATGGTTAACTAATATTAACACAAAATAATACTACACGATAATCAAAAAAATAAACCTCGGTATTCGGGCCTAAAATCCAAGGATACGTGTACCATTACTTAAGTGTAAGCTGCAATACCATATCGGATACCTGTACCATTACTCAATAATAACCACTAGTAAGACCATAATAACAAGCTTAATAACCATTTTATTGCAATTTATTCCATACGATTTTGTCTTGTGTTACAGGATTACAAACTAAAAGTCACAGATAAAATGTCTCAAATCAGACATACTGCAAAACATAACAAACGCTTGAAAGCTAGAATCCTTTCCATAATAAATCCCAGCATGTGGAGCGAGCTCATTTCCAAGTAGCTAGATATATGGAAGAATGCTGATATACCCATCGTCCAGAGTCCAACGTTATAAATAAAAAATCCTAACCCTGCTAGGAACGTTAAGTACCCGGTCACCCGGTTACCCGGTTACCCGTTTTTTTACACAAACCCCAAAGACGTCGGGCCAACGTCACTACTGGTGGCCATTGGGTGGCATGGTCGGAGTTGGCAAATTGTAGCTGGCTTGCGGCCCATTGTGGGCTGCCGCTAATACCAGGGAGCCAACAATGGCTGTAAAAAAGTAAATTGTGTCAATGGTGGGCCAACGATAGGCCAACGTTGGTTCTTTGGTGGCTGCCAAAGTTGGGCCAACATTGGCAGCCACTGTTGGCCCACTGGCTGGCATGCTGTTGGACCAATGTTGGTCCAATCTGGGATATTGCAAGACCTGTCATGACCATGGTAATGTTAAATACATGATACATGATATTCATTAATTAGAATTGACGAAAATCTTCACAAACGAGAGAACATGTATTTTGGGGTTTACGAAAAACACCGACCGCCGACCACCGACCAGTCACTCTCCACAGTTGGGTACATGTGGTCGGCTGACGGTCTTTTACATAAAGATGAAAATGCAAAATTAGAAGTAAAACTAAAACTGGGAATCCAATGACTATAGTACCTTTACTAGGTCGTGATTTAAAAACGTATAATTAATCATTTCAAATCACGATGAAAACGTTACATCGTCGTGGTGTGTAATGTCATATTTTTAAGTGACGTTTCAGTTGTTAGAAGACCAATTTCATCCTGGTTAATCACTTTGGAAAAAACGCACGTAACATTGCATTAAGTTCATTCATATGAAATAGACTAAAACGCAATAACAAAAACACACAAACATCGTCGATGTTGACGTCGTAACGTTATGTTTGATTTCTCAGTTGTTAAACGTCAACTACATTTGATATGACAAAAAAGCTTTCTTATGGTGTACTGAAATGGTAAGTCACTTTTAATCCCGATAAGAGAACGCATGTAATAATATATCGTGTTCAGTATTCAGTAGGCTATGACGATAACAAATCATTTTTGTTTCGAAATTGTTAAATTTCAGTAAAAAATAGGATAGATTCCCGTAGAAACGATATGGGTTGGTTAATGATAGGTCAGGACCTAAGGCAGGACAATTAATCGAGAGGAGACGGTCATGCCCAATTTGTTTGCTTGCCATTCGTTGCAAGGTACAAAATCGGTAGAAACCGTTGCCTAGTCCTGTAGTCCAACGATTGACATTCAAAATCAAATTATTAATATTTTAAGGCTACAAATATGTTCGGTCTTTTACATGATATTGTCGGTCTTTTACACATTTTCTTCAAACCCTGTTTTGAGGCTACCAGTGGAAAACACCGACCGGTCGGTGGTCGGTGGGGTCGGACTTTTTCGTAAACCCTGTATTTTGAGACTAGAACAACCTGTCATCAGAGATAGAAAAGCTGTCCATTCGTTTGTCTGTTAGTCCGTCTATTTATTCAGAAACGACAACTCAATAGTTTATTTATATATAGGAATACCCCTAATGGCCATAGGACGTCTGATTTAGAAAAATCTTCGAAAATGGAAAAAATGGGATAAAAATGTGAAAGAAAATACAGTAAATTGAATTGAAATTAAATGTAATTGTGTAATAGATGTATTGTGTAATAGATGATGAAATATTTTCACGAACTGACAACATTATATGCGTACATTTTTATGATTTGAAATACCTAGCCACATAAACAACGCTCAATGCACCATTGGAAAGTTTATCTTGTCTTCTTTAGTCTCCTTCTCTAACAGAAGTGAATCAACTGTTACGCATTGAACTTTACTAATAGATATGACAAAACATGTTTTGCCGACTGACAATATTACATATGGTTTGAAATACCGAGCCACATGTACATCAAACCATTGGAAAGCTTGTTTAGTGTTCTTTAATCTCATTCATAACAACATAGAATTAAAGAAATCGAGTCTCCTAAAAACACAATTAAAGTAACCCCGTAGGATTTGTGTAAAAAACCGGGTGACCGGGTGACCGGGTACTTAACATTCCTAGCAGGGTTAGGAATTGTTTTTATTTATAACGTTGGATCTGGACGATACATGTACGTTATTTTCGACGTCACGTTTTGAGGTTATTTCACATCGTAAGAACGCTTTGACAACGTTAACTTTTAACGTTAAAATAACGTCGGTAATGAACCGATTTAGTGAGAACATATTGACGTCTTTGTAACGTTTCCTTAACTCACAAATATTTTGAAGCCATTTCCACAATGTTGAAATTTAACCATCCATCGATGTTTTGCTGAATATTTAAATAACGTCAGATCAATACATCAATACGGTCCATGAACGTCATTATTGACGTCACGTTTTGAGGTTATTTCAAATCGAAAAAAAGTTTCGAAAACGTTAAATTTTAACGTTAACAATACGTCGGAAATGAACCGACTTAGTGAGAACATATTGTCGTCTTTGTAACGTTTCCTTAACTCACAAATATTTTGAAGCCATTTCCACAATGTTGAAATTCAACCATCCATCGATGTTTTGCTGAATATTTAAATAACGTCAGATCAATACATCAATACGGTCCATGAACGTCATTATTGACGTGATCACGTTTTGAGGTTATTTCAAATCGAAAAAAAGTTTTGACAACGTTGAATTTTAACGTTTGAGTAACGTCACATATGGACCAATGTAGTAAAAAATCAAACGTTCCTGTTTGTTATGTTTTCCACACTAACGATCTTTACGGACACGCTACAACAACGTTCTTTTTATACCATCAATAGATGTCTCATGTTTACGATGCCTATATGTGTAAAGAACAAAATGTGCAACGTCTTCTAGGAACTTATATGCTACTTATGAGCAACGTGACATGGACGTCACTGTTACAGCAGTGCACTCGGTAGGCTAAGTCTGTCAAGTCAATTCGCTACTACATATCGGGGGAAATGTGAAACTTTGAAAGTTGGTAACCCTGCTAGGAACGTTAGGTACCCGGTCGACCGGGTACCCGGTTACCCGGTCACCCGGTTTTTTACACAAACCCTCTTGTCTATGCCATATATAACCTGAATGCGGTATCACACCCCAGAAAAGCAGAAAAGATAAACAAGATATTGTCACAGACCCCTTTTCCCGAAGACAATCTTATTTCATTTATATTTCAACATTTTGTTTCTTAGGTTGCTGCTTTTGGTTCAGGTTTGAAGAAAATGTTGAAGTTTGTGTTTTGTGCATGATAAATGAATAGCACAAGGAGATCTGTATGAGTACTGTATTTGAGGTTTGGACACTTTGGATTGCAGTTTTCACAATCACAATATCTGCATCCGATTCTGAATGTAGCACATGCACTCAATGTTTTCCAATATGACAGACAGAATTACCATCATCCCTATGCACTGAAATTAATTAATGAATATCTGAGATATCTGAGATTTAAATGTGCTCTATCAGTTTAAATTCCGTTTAATAACCATAAATTCGTTTCTACAGCATTATACATCCAATTGATAGTTCCATATTAACCATAGTAATGTACTCTTATGTAATGATTTCAGGCCTGTCAACTTGGGAACACCTAACATGAGTGACTTGGAAATGTTGAACACCTCCCCTCAAAATGTGGACACCTTGGTCCAAATCTGAACACCTTGATCCAAATTTTGAACACCTTGGTTTAAATTTTAGGACATCTTGCCAAATTTTGAACACCTTAAATTTTTCGCGCTCGCTACGCTCGCGTTTCAAACATCAGTCAACGGGGGGGGGGGGGGGGGGGGGGGGGGGGGGGGGGGTAGGTACGAAACATTTCGAACGGAATGCGTGACATATACGTAATTCGCGTGAAAAGTCCGAACGAAATGCGTACGTTTTTTTTCCGGCGTTCGTATTTTTGCTGTGTAGACGATCTTTTTTAGAAATTTTTCTACAGAAATATTTTTGCTTGACAATTACCAGGTAAAATGCGTATTTGCGTGACATTTTCTGTCACGCAAAAATAACTGGCGTGACTTCAAATTCTTCAGCAAATGCGTGACAAATACGCAAATTGCGGGACAGTTGACAGGCCTGTGATTTATTTATCTGATGAATTTAAATATATGCAAATTTTGTAATTGCTAATTAATAATTTAAACAATATTAAATTCCACAAAAACTACAACTTACATTATTTAGATAAGCCTAGTATAGAGCAGTTATCAAATACCCTAATATCAGAGTGGTGATATGTAATTATTCATCAAATAAAAGTGAGGTCACCTTAACATTTCACCTGGTGCAACTAATTATTCCTATTTTTCATACTAATAAGGTATAAACCTTCACAAAACTTGTATTTTAGCTTGTATTCGCGAATGCTAAGCTATCAATGTAGACGAGTCGTCCAGTATTTTACTAGGCTCTGTTATTGAAAGATGGCAGCACAATATGTTTTTTTGTTGAAGGGGTCTTCAATTTCAAAATGGAGGGCAACAAGGATGAAAGTGAGAGATGTCTGGAAATAGCCATCAAATATATCATGGGAGGGGATCGGAACAAGGCTGTTAAATTTTTAAATAAAGCTCTAAAACTATATCCTCTGCCTAAAGCGAAAGGTGGGTCTAATTTTTGTAAAATAGTCTTTAGATCGCCAAATATATCTTTAGGATTTTAGAAATAATTTCTGAAAAAATCGAATTTTTTGCTTTGATGATTCAGCATTAGAATTGTTGCTAAACATGAGTAAGGTTTATTCTTATAGTCTTCTATACTAAAGTTCACATAAGGAAGCAAACACGTCGTTGGTCTGTTGATGATGAAAGGATGAACGTGCCTCTACTCGACCAACCATGTCTCCAACCATGTCTGATGTAAACATAATTAAAAACCTCCCCACCCACTACTACTTTTTGCAAGGCCTGACTGCGTCGCTAACATGCTAAATATAAGAGTTAGCTGACGTTTGGGAGTCTGACTTACCTTCTAAAGGTTAGAACCCGAATCTTAATGAAACCATATCACCTTTGTTGCGTCGATGATGATGCATAAACATAGCATTTGATAGAAATTAGCGTAAATGCTTTTCCGACTTTTTAATTTTTCATCAATGTTGACTTCCGTTGTAGTTATCACGAAATAACGCATTGACCCTTGAACTTTACTTTGTTGACGTGTCAACCAAGCATGTCTGGTGTGAAAATTAAAAGAATATTAAGCAATGTTCTACATCCGCCAAGCAAGTGAAGTAGTCAATATTTAAAATTACCAATTTCAAGTGAAGTACGCAACGAACGAAACTGCGTGATCTACACTCCCACTATTGGTCTGAATGAAATGCTACGTAGAAATATGAGCCGTCTGCTGTATTAGTCGATTAATAGAGTAAGACCTGTTGGTGATGCTTTATAATTTAGACCAAAACATTGAAGAACAAACGAACCTGTAAATCGTGAAAACAACGAACAAATATTCGGTTTTCACATATGTTCGGGAATTTTTCGTATTGAAACTTCCGGAACTTACAAGGAAATCATTCATTTTCTCGATCCATGATTTACCTCTTGGATGTTGTGGCAAATGCTCCATGGTTGACGGAACAAAGGTGATATGGTTTCATTAAGATTCGGGTTCTAACCTTTAGAAGGTAAGTCAGACTCCCAAACGTCAGCTAACTCTTATATTTAGCATGTTAGCGACGCAGTCAGGCCTTGAAAAAAGTAGTAGAGTAGATTTCATGGGCTGACTTCGTCGGTAGAACTTGAAAAATAAGATTAATCTGAAGATTAGGAGTCTTACTTTCCCTCTAGAGGTTAAAACACACATTTTAATGAAACCATATCAGCTATGTTTTGTTCATGATGAAGCATACAGTACTTGATTGAAATTTGTGTTAATGCTTTTTGGACTTTTCCATTTTCGTCGTGTTTACTTCCGGGACGGCTTTGCCTCTATCAAGAAATACTGTATTGACCTTGAACTTTAATTTTGTGACATATCATCCAACCATGACTGATGTAAAAATAATTAAAATATTTGAAAATAATGTTTTATGGTCTCTTCTGCAGACGAGTTTAGGACAGGGCAGAGGAGGATGGCCTGTTCTAAGATAGAAAAAGTGCATGATCTACAGTTGAACTATTGGTCTGAATGAAATGCTGCGCGGAAAGTATGAATGGGTCGTCAGCTGTATTGGTCTATTAAATATTCTAGGACCTGTTTGTGATGCTTCATAATTTAGACCAAAGTGTAGACGAATACACGCACGTGTAAATTATAAAATCAACGAATAAAGATTCAATTTTCACAAATGTTCGGTAATTTATCGTATTGAAACTTCCGGGACTTACTAGGAAATCATTCATTTTCACGATCCATAATTTACCTCTTGGATATTGTGCTAAATGCTCTATAGTTGACGCAACAAATGTGGTAGAGTTTCATTAAAATGTGTGTTCTAACCTCTAGAGGGTAAGTAAGACTCCTAATCTTCAGGTAAATCTTATTTTTCAAGTTCTACCGACGAAGTCAGGCCATGAAATCTACTCTAACACCACCCAGCCACTCGCATGTTACTAAATGTTAGGACTCGAATAAATGCTACTCTTCTGGTTTTGATCATCTTCCATTTGTTAAACATCCATGATGCTTCGCTACATGACATATTGGACTGAGGAATGGGAATGGCATGCCAAAGGGGGGACTAGGACATGCTTGAATATCGGTGTGAGGTCGGGTTCGGCCGAGTAAGCGCCTCCTGCTGTATACTCCCCGTCCATATGAGCTATCATATGGAACACCTGTGGTCTGGTGGTAGACCACATAAACAAGCATTGTTCTAGTGGGACTTAGGTGGACTGGGTCGCCTTTGGGTTCCACTTATCTCTTCTTCTGATCCACAGCCATCTGGAGCTGTCTTCTGCTGCTGAGCTGATAGACTTTAAGGCACTCTTGAGCTCCTTGGGTTGCAATCCTATCTTGGATAATAGGGTTCTGACTGATGTTGCTGGAAACCCCCTGCAACCAACTTCGATAGGGAAGACGGATGCGTGCCACCCTCTTGTCTCAGCTTCGTCTTTAAGGTCTTGATACTTTGTTGCTTTGATCTCGTGTGAAACCTCTAGCCTATCCTCCCATGGGACTGTTAGTTCGATGATGATAATGGTCTTGGTTGAACTGGAAGTCATAACCATGTCTGGGCGCAGGGTTGTTACGGCCACATTCTGTGGGAAGACTAGTTTCTGATAGAGATCTACCTGGAGTTGCCAATCTGTTGCTTTGGCTAAAATGCTTGGCTTGGGTTGTGGTTTGGGGGTCTTTGCAGCTTTGGGTTTTCCTTCCCTGATAAATTCTATTTGCTTTTGCCGTTGAGTGATGGAACCTCTATTGGCAATGCCTCTTTGCTGGTCTATGTACTTAGAGACTTCTTGGAGTACCTTGTTATGTCTCCATGTGAATCTTCCTTCACTCAGGGATTGGGGGCAAGAGCTGAGGATGTGTCGCAGGTTGCAGCAGTCTCCCTTGCAAAGTGCACACTTGTCAGAATCTTCTTTACCCCATACTCTCAAATTGGCTGGCGTTGGTAAGAGGTCAGTGAATGCGCGCAGAAGAAAGCTGAGGCGACCCTGATCCTGGGTCCAAAGCTCTTTCCAAGTAAGAGGTCTCTGTAGAGCTGCCTCCCAGTTGGTCCATCTTCCTTGTTTGGCCTGCCCTACAGCTTTTATGTGCCTATCTTCTTCTGTTGATCTCCTCACCTCCTGGACAATCTGGCTCCTTTTCTCCTTAGGGGTGATTGCTTGAGGACCATAGTGACCAAGACCCAAACGGCCCTTGCACACAACGCCAACTATGTCCTTGTGTCGCAGTCTCTCTTCTGCCACTCTGATCGAATCTTGAGGTTTCCACTTTCTGCCACAAGTTATGCCTTCACCTACGGTGTTGACTTTCTTGTCCTTGTTCCAAGTTTAGCTCTGAAACTGTGTATTGGCGTTTCTCAATATATTACATGGCTGTCCAACGGGTTTAAATTTGGTGCGTGACAGCATCCATGGGCTTTCAATATACCAATTCGCGATAACGTTTAATTTAGTTCAGTTTAGTTACCTCCGATTTGAAGAGCTCTCATGTATGGTACACAAACGATAGGTATATATGTAATTAAGCTCTTCGACATTTAAAAAAATACTCGACTTTTTTGCAAAAAAACTTCCAAAAAGTAACAGTCGCATGAATTCACATTGTCGTACTTACTAAATGATCCGCCACTTAACTTATGCACCATCAAACTCGGTAATATTGTACACCTAACTATTGATAACGGTATATTCCCATAGAAAACTCGGCTTGCTTTTCAGCATTTCAAGCGAAAATTTTCTACGGAGCTTTTGTTTTTCTGACGTAATTTCTTTTAAGAAATCGGTCACATGACACGGTTTGGTTCATCTTATTTTGAAAGGGGTGTCATCTATTAAGAATATTTATTTTCGTCTTGCCCAGTCCTATATACAACATGCCCTTATCTTTTTCGCCCGTAAAACCACATGTAGTAATATTGAAATTATGGGAAAGATTCTCCGAGAAACTTCAGAATGCTTTCTATGATTCAAAATCACAAAAAAAGTAGCTTTTTCAATGTCGAAGACCTTAAGATATATTACAAAGCTATAATCCCCAAATCCGAAGAAATCTGTAGTTGAAATTGCCGTCCAATTCCAGTGACGTCACTGATTTCCCAGAATTGCTCAAGACGCCATCGAAGATTGGTGAAAGAGGTGGAGAAGTTATATTGTGACTGAGGCGGGACATTTCACAAGTGTGATGTTGCATAATTTGCATCTAGGTCCTCCGATAAATACCAATGGGTCTGTCACATGTCACATTACTTTATTGGGAAAACTAAGCCTCTTATAAGAGTAGGGAAATAAAAAACGTTCCAATGTAGATGTGGATATCAACTCAAATCCTGGAGAGATACATGGAGATGGGATGAATATCTAATTCCATGGGCATAGCCATGGCGTAGCACCCCCCCCACACACACACAGACAACTTTGTAAAATTTGTTGAGAAAATATTAATAAATTATAGTTTGAAATGCACCATATTTAATGTAAAAAAAATCACACCACCTTGATATTTGCTGGCTACGATTCTGTAATTCTGTTCATAAATACATGTAGCGCATTAGCGAAAGCAAATTATAATATGGAAATCATGCATTAAAGTGCTGTTAAGTGGTTCAAAGAAGAACTTTCAGAACTATAGAATGCCTTTCCCATTTTCATTAACTTCTTAGATCAAAACTGGTTTCTAACAAACTCCCCGTGGAACTTTGATTGTTTCGGTATTGTCTGAGATTAAAGCATCTTTTAAGTTCATAAAGTTTATGAAAAAAAGATATCTTGTAGAAAAATGTCACGCTTCAATTCCTTTCTAAAATTAGTCTTTCCCCCATGATGGTTAATAAAAGTTTCGATGAAGATGATGTCCAAGTACATGTAAATGACAGTAACGAGTAGGGGTGGGACGGATAACCGAAATACCGAAAAACCGCGGTTCATAGCCTTCGGATCGGTTTTCGGATCACGGCCCTACTTTCGGATCAGCTTTTCGAATCGTTTTCAGATTAATATTTCATTGGTCAAGTATCAATAAAACAGTTAAAAACACTGTTTTACAGCAACATTTTTGATATTCCTAGTCCCTACCTTGTCTGTCTTGTCTGTTGCTAGCTCACTCGTTTACTAGATTCATTTCGTATCCGCGTATTCGTATCCCTCGGTAATCAATCATGTGGTAAACTCACTAAACTTACACAATCATGACTTCCTCTGTAAAAAACGCATCACAGAATAAAGGTTTCTACAAGCATAAATTCACAGAATAAAGGTTTCTACAAGCATAAATTAGTTATTTTATTGGTTGTATTAAAAGAAAGTGACAGTCAGCAGTGAAGTCAGAGACAAAGCAGCTAATCATGTCAATCAATACAAATAAATGAACCGAACCGAAAAAACCGAACCGACGGCTGATGATCCGAAAAACCGAACCGAACCGAAACTAACCGTCCCATCCCTAGTAACGAGGCAGAGGTTGAGGCATTAAACAAAAACATATTGTCTCCTTTCAGATTTACTTGAGCAACTTAACAACACTGCAAATAGTAGTACAGCAAATAAGGACAAACATAAAGACAATACAGATGGCCCCAGACATAGGAATCAGCAAAAGACTTCACAAACTTCTACAAATCAGGAATCTAGCGGTCACACTTTAAATAAGGATTACACCTCTGCTCAATTAGATATGGTTAAAAGGTAAGTTCCAAATAGCAAATTCTTATGGATCTTTATTAAAGCGGCAGTGTCTGATAGGAACAGAATTAGAGTATTCCCTTGAATTTTTTGCATTAGGAGATGTTAAACAGGCTCATTGATAATTCTACATGCCTATTTTCAATTACCAATTCCTATGTTTACTTTGTCAAATTATGATGGTACACAGAAGAATCATCAACTGAATCGCAGATATTGGAACAGAATTTAAGATTCCACTCTGAATCTGATTGGCTACCTGGGTTCAAGTCACATGACGACACTAGTATCAAGTGATGGGAATTCCCTTTGATGGGGAATGCTCAATGCGTTCAATTCAGACAGTTGGTTGTTCTGCTGATTTTCTTGAAATATATATATATCAGAAATAATGGGTCCAAAGTTGGTCTGAAGATACGTCCAAGCTGCGAAAGACAAGCACTTATAATAGGACATCACTGATTGCCCAAATGAGAAACTTTAAACACTGCATCTATCCGTCTATTACATTGATTGCTAAATACTAAATGTGAGTTGTTATACTTTAAATTGTGCCTTTTCATATTTACTTCATGACAGACCTGTTATAATTAGTCCTCTGCCCATTTGCACACATCCTCAAGTTCATTGTTACTCTCAAGATAATTCTAACAGGTGAAGTTGTGTTTACAGGAAGTAAATTTTGCTTCATGGGTGGTTGAACATCACCATCTGCTGGCTTTAGTTCTGGGACAAAACATACAGATTCAGGATAAGAAAGTGTTGAAAATATAGTTCTCATTGTTTTTAAGGATAAGAAAGTGCAAAGACTACTATGAGATTCTAGGTGTGGATAAAGACTGTTCAGAAGAGGACCTTAAAAAGGCTTACAGAAAACTTGCACTGAAAATGCATCCTGATAAAAATAAGGCCCCGGGAGCTACAGAAGCATTTAAAGGTAAGATCTTCCTTCAATGATGATTGTTTGTTCACAGTATCGATCCAGTATTTTTTAGAGAACTTTAAATTCTTAGTGTTCAATTTTAAGATCCTTTAGATCACTAAAATATGATTTAAAGTAAATGTCCATTTTTAATGATATCTTGGTTTTAAGGGGGATATAGATGGCTTGGTTTGTCACAAAGGTCTGATATTGCTTTGATATGTCACTACCACAAGTGGTGAGGCGGTAAATAGTTATTATAGTCTGCAACTTTTTTGTAGATGGTGTTTGGTAGGTGGTGGATGGCATTTGGTGCACTGGTTTATTGAGAAAATATATCCATCAAACTTTTTAATGTTTTCTAGCCATAGGAAATGCATTCGCTGTCCTGAATGACAAAGATAAAAGGCGGCGCTACGATCTGTATGGAAGTGACGCTGAAAGAGTTGAGGGTCACAGTCATCACCATCATGAGTATGATTTTAACAGGGGATTCGAAGGTAAGTTTCTTTACTGAGGTGGTAAGTCTATTTTAGCCTCTGGAATCTCCCAAGTGTCCATTTGTGAAGTTTTTCGACATGAAAACTGCATATTGGTTCTTTACACCATTGCTTTTAGCACCTAGTTCAGAGAAATCCTAGTTTTAGAGAAATCTTTTCTTGTTGAGATACCAATTTTTGAAAATATATGTATATGAGTTTGTAACATTTATCATGTTTCAGAATCAGATAATAATATGTTGCGATTGAAATTATCATAAAATAAATGAAATGTAATAGAGGCTTTGCTATATGCACCTGTGTGTATCCCAACTTGTCATTTGTTCAAGAATTTAGTATGAGAAATTGTATGTTTCAGGAGACATCTCAGCAGAAGAGATTTTCAACATGTTTTTCGGAGGTGGTTTTCCTACAGGTGAGTTGTTTGTAAAAACTATGAGATTTCTGTTCTCAACTCCTTTTGAGAATTGAGTACCTTAGTTTCAACCCAAACAATCATCTTGCTGGCCTGAATCGAATTTGACCCAAATCAGATTTTTTCAACCTACCTTATCCCTAATATTATTCATCGTAATTTTAACAAATTTGTCAATTCCATGATATTTCATCAAAAATTCAAGATCTGCAAATTTGTCTGCACTTTACAGAAATAGAAAATTGGGATGATAGAAATACTTAACAATTTGAAGAAGTGTATTGTTGAATATAGTAATTATAATATACAGATATATATTGGTGAGAAATCAAAAATTTGATCACACGGTATTATGATGCAAGTGTCCTCACGGTTATTTCATTTTTACAGAAAATATTCATGTTTATCGAAGAAGAAAACAGAAAAGGTCTGGGGCTTATGATTATAGTAAGCTAAGGAAAAAGCATTTAGTGTTCTCCATGTCAGCTTTTATACAGATTGTCTTGGCCTGAAAAGTTGTTTTTATTAATGTGAAGGTCCCAAAATTATATGCTTTGTCCTGCTAGTTGAGTTTGTATTAGTCTATAGCAGTTAATAATGTTTAATAAAACAAATCAAAATGTGATTAAATTTAAGGTGTTCAACTATGTATGTCGAAACTAATACATGTACATATAGAGATCGTTTGTGTATTTGACAAAGTGACCAAACATGTTGTTGATTGGTTGATTTATTGGTTGATTGATTGATTGGCTAATTGATTGTTCAACATTTTACTAGTCTACTAATTGCAGTTATTAGTTATTTGATAGTAAAATGTGTTTTATGTTCAAACCTTTTACATTACATTACTGTAGATAGAATCTTTAATAGAAAAGGTGACATAAACTGCAATCTAAGCCATAATGAACTTATAAATTCTAGCTTTTTAAGATATTTAGGTACAGAATTATAAACTTTTCTCAAAATACCAAAGCTTTGAATCTGTGATACTGGAAAAAGGGTTAAAGCTTCTATTAGGTTAAGGAAAGATATCATCCAAATGTGCATGTGCATATGAGTATGTTTGGTAAACAATTTTGTTCAAAGTTTGTCAGAATTCAAAACTTCATGATTTTTCTCGGTCCCATTGGGTGCGAAAGAGTATTAAAAATGGGTGCAAGCCTGTGGACAGCCTTGCCCAAGTCGGTATTCTTTTTTACAAATCTGATCTTGAATTATTACCGCCTTGTACAATCCAATACATCTCCGCTGATATTATACTGAGATATCCAACGGTTTAGAGATTTCCATAATACCTACGCTATCAGGGGTATCGCGAAACCTTATTGATTGACAGATCGCGTGGACGACATGACGTCTGACTTCAAGCTGATTGACCAGATCAAGATAAGTAAAAGAGACCGACTTGGGCAAGGCTAGCCTGTGGCCAATCAACTGATACTACATGCTGTGTAGTGGCATGTACAGCTTGGGTAGCTAAACTCAGAACCCTTTCGCAATAACCTGAGAGCATCTCTACTTTTGCTGTGAAAAAATCTGTATACGATTTTACTGAAAATTGCATATGCAAGCCCATCTGAAGGGGGGGAAATGACATTTGGGGACCCCTTTTTCCCAAAGAAAATCTTTGTAGATTTGTATAAAACGATGCAAACATGGCTCCCAGATATGCCCAGAATGTACTGGAGAGGGTCTAAATTTCAGCCCATCAATACGCAAAAGTCGGCCTTCCTCCTGGGAAATCCTTTGGATGGGCCTGCATATGTTATACATCCAACAATATTTGATATAATTCTTTTGCTTGCAGGTGACGTAGGCCAGAGACATCAACACCGAACAAGAACTCATCATTTTACACGCAGCACACATTATACTAATAGGGAAGATGTAAGAGTGCACATTAATTAACTTCATTTTTTGTTAATTACTTTCAAGAAGTCGGGAAATGTTATTTTTTCATTCCCTCCATTCTGTTTCATTGGTCGGCATTTGCGTATCAAATAAATAATAATAACTGTTAATTTCAATTAACACATTTAGATACATGTAGTATGCAAAGTCTGAATATTATGATTAGAATATATATGACAATGACAACTTTGAAAAAATTCTTAAAAAGTAGTTTTGGTAAATCATATAAAATTGCCTTTCATCTGCTGGTAATGAAAATGCTGCAAATGTATTTTTATCATCATTAATTTTTGTTTTAGAATGGTTACACAATGTGTCTGCAGCTAACTCCACTGTTGTTACTTGTCGGTCTTTCACTTCTTAGTAGTTTCCTGGTTGGAGATCAAGTATTCTCACTACAGAGGTCTAAGTAAGTAGGAATACAATATGGATTTATCTTGTTCACTCCCAGTCTCTGAAATGGGCTTAAAAACAGAGGAATTTTCTAGATTCTTATTCAACATGTGACACACACATACTGTTTATGTCTTTAATTACAGGGTGGGTTTAATTACGCCTATTTCGCGTATTGGTAGCGTGAAATTAAATACACGCAAAAATCCTATCTTCCACACGGTGCGAAATATTGCATAAAAACTTCAATAGAGACATGGGCAACTTCAATCTAGATCGCTTGTGGGATGAAGTTATATTGCCTTAGCAATTAATTATTTTTTGACGTTGTTAAGGTTTAATGATGTAATAGTAGATTTACCTGTATTCATTTCAACTATTTTCAATTTAAATTTAGTGATCATGGATGCAGTTTGCATTCGAAACGTTTAAAACAAAATTTTTTAATAAAGTCTGTGACAATGAACACTAATAAATGAATCACTTAGAAGGTTAAGTTTAGAAATTGATTACAGTAAAACGTGTCTGAGGGACACCTCTCTCTAGTGGACACCCTTCTTCCACACATACTCTGCTGAGTTCTGCATGAATTTACCTCTCTGTAGTGAACATCTACTTACAGCGAACACATTTTTGTGGCTCAATAGGTGTTTTACTATGCACAGGTTTTACTTTAAATCTCAAACAAGAAAATTGCATTGATGAATTTTTTATGCATTAAATGTCACTAGATTTGTCTTGATAGGAAAACATTTTGTAACAATATAATCATATAATTCTGAGATTCCTTTCAGTTGTTTCCAACTGCAGCATTTTAACAATATGTAATATATTTTTCAGTAAATATATGAATGAAAGAAAAACACAGAATCTGGGAATTGCATATTTCGTAAAGCCAGACTTTAGCACACATTATAGCGGGAATATACGGAGTATAGAACGCCAAGTAGAAGATGAATATATAGGAGGTTTACGGTCTAACTGCTATAGGGAAAGAACATATAGTAAGTTCAATGTTGCTTTTAGAATAGTAAAGTGAGCACTAGTGTGGCACAACCTGTAGTACTATCAATATCTGTCATTCTAACTAAAGTGATATTTTCTGTGACATTCATTATTTTACAAGATTCAAAATCCTAATTTTAACTATTTTTGTGAATATATGCCATATTTCATCATTTTGACAGGATAGAAAAACTTTGTAATATAACAATCCTCTTCAACTTAAGATTTGCCTGTGCTTATTTAAATTTTTTATTTTACCTATATTTGCTAAACTGCTATTTCTACAAAATGAAGATATTTTTGCTTGCTTGTATGATATTTTGTATTTCCCCATCTTTTTTTTTTACAGAAGAAAACATGTTATGGCAAGCGAAAGCTTGGAGTGATAGGAACTTATGGGAAAGAGCACAGAATACAAAATTGCCATCATGTGACAATTTGGACAAACTTTATGCTAGACAGACATAATATAATGCCTAATATATAGCCTACATGCAAAGTTTGAACCTCAGTGATCCATTACCAAAGGAGGATTTACCCATGAACCTCGGCAGTCGTGATTTATGTTGCTTTAACAGTTATTTATTTCCCAAGCTAGGATTGTTAGAAGAGGAAGATGTTTTCCCTGAAACTTAATATAAATATTTTAAGCAGGCAAATGACATCTTCAAAAAGGGATGCTTCTCTCAAATCCCAACTAGTGACATAATGTAACGTTATATTTATTGAGACAATTCTAAATTTGGATTTATCTGCCATTCCAGAAGAGAACCAAATGTGGCGAGCTCGCAGTTGGAATGATGCTAAATCATATGAAAAGGCGCAAAAAATGGGGACTCCATCTTGTGAAGCTCTGAATAAGCTGTATCGTTAGCACCAGAGTAGCACCAGATAACCATTTGATTGATCTGGTATTATTTTTGATGAGCCTATGTTAGGCTTAAGTGGTGATACCTCATCAGATTCCACAAATAATAGGGAATCATGGATATGAAAATTGATTGAAAAATTAAGTCCATTTCAGTGGACAAAAATGGAATAAGAACAACAACAACAACATCAAACTGCCTACATGGTTTAATGGATTTAAACAACTCCAGTATTTAACAGAACAAGTCCCGCATTAATGAAAGTTCCTCGTAATCTGTATGGACTAAAAAATGACATAAGAGCCTACATATAATTTTCATTGAGGTTGGACATTTTTGTCTCAAGACCCAAAGTTGTTGGCAGCTCTTTAATGAGAATAGAATGGACTTCTTGTTATAATATGAAATTGACTGGTGTTTGGTATAACAAGGTTATCAATTTATTGGGGCTCTACATTTATTCAGAACTTATCAATTTAAAGGGGCCGCGTCTCTTATAGTTATACAGAAAGTATCAATATTAAGAGGTTCTGTCTCTTGGACTTATTTTTGTTACCCAATATTATTCTTACTCTTGACCTTTAACACATATTTTACACGTCATATATGTTTTTATAAATGGCATATCTCCATAGCACTTTTTTCAGTGCAATCCTGCCTACATCTCTCCAGATTCTAAATTTATTCTCGGAATCGCTCAGAGCTGGGGAAAATTTCATTTAATTGCATTGATATAAAGAGTTTAAATCAATTTAAAAAAAAATTTTTTTTAATTACATTTGACAACATTTAGTGTTGCTTTAATAAACTAGCTCCAAATTAAACATCACACCTGCAAGACAGTAGGCACAGTTGCACTGAAAGAATTACTTGGAGAATGTATAATGTAAGTGGATCTTCAATTCAGCCCTTTTACTTTCACCAATTTACGAGTCAGTGAAACATTATATAATTTCTTTGATGCAAATAGTTATTTTTAGTTATAAATTTGCAGTCATTTGCTTTTAGATATCATTGTAATTAGTATGCTTTTATAACTCTATTATGTTCAGTTGAGATTTATGTAAAAACATATCCAATGTAAAATAGTCCAATGTAGTCAAGTTTACTGGCCATGTATCAGTTGGGCAGTTTGCGCAAAAACAAAATAATGCGCTCAATCAAGCGAGAGTTGTCGGGCCACATAGATAATTATTTATAATGTCACGAAGACGTGATCCGTAACACCAAAAGTTTTTCAACCATGTCGAGGTGTCCTATCGGGTTATTAATTTTTAATATTTAAGTTTCTATGCCTGATCGAGTATTTGTTCCTAACTAAAATGAATGGCCCACCTTGACTTGTCAGCTTGTGGGTTCTGCCTCAGACTGAATGCATAAGATATAAACGTCCCTTTAGTAACAGTGTAGTCCATAGGTTAGCAGTTCATTTTTAATGTTGTCTTTAATATGTCATGATTGGGGTTCACCTTTCGTTCAAAAAATCTGTCAGACAATTGGTAGGTCATTCTAAAAAATTTTCAGCCATAGTTAAAATCAGCCTACAATTTGCCGATGATTTGCCGAATAAGTCGTGCCGTGGTCATGATCAGTGCATTTTGATTTTTTGATTTCTATGCATGTTAAATTGTTAATTACTTTTGTTAAGTTGTGTGAACGCCTTCTTATCTAACAGTTATCATCTTTTTCCAGTTTGAAGATCCCAAAAATGAAATATTATTATGAGTTGAATTGTGTATCTTTTGTAAAAATTGGATGGGTAACCTATGTTATAAATGTGTGTAAAATTATGTGTATGTGAAATGTTAGATGTGTGTTTGTGTAAAATTTTGTTGATATAAAACGAACAATTTATTTCCATGTTTCTTGGATCAGAACCATCCTTTATAATAATTTAATAATTTAGACCATTGCTTTTGAAAAGCAAAAAGCTAAATTGTGAAATTTATTGTGAACAATTGTGCAAAATAAAATAACTTTCAATGATTCCTGCGTCTTAAAGGGGCAACAAGGCCCAGGGTCGGATTTGGGAACCAACAAGGAGGGGGGCAAATTTCAGGTGAGAGAAAAAAACACTTTTGGGCCCCTAAAACCCACAAGTGGGCCCAAATTTTGAAATTTTGGGGCCCGTTTTCTTCAAATTTTGGCCTGAAATTAAGAAATAAGGCCTTAAAAGGCCCAGTAATGACCAAAAGGCCCAGTAATGACCTTTTTGGCCAGGTCCTTCCCCCCAGATAATAGGAAATTTTTAACTTTTTCTTAGCTATCAAGGCAACATTTTGCTTAACAACTTGTTTGACATATCTTTTTTCTTAAAATGTATGGATAAAGTATCAATTTCAGCTTCAAAGCTTCAAAAAGGGGAATCCACTTTTATATTTTTAAGATCCACCATGTTTCGAGAGGAATATCAGCTGAAATAATGTTTATCTAGGGGGTAGATAATAAAAATAGATGTAAGTCTTGATGAAATATTCAAACTTAAATATATTTTGACACTGGTCAATGATCGTTGAATGGCCCCTCTGCACTAATTGTTGCACCTTTAAATTGACTAAAATATGTATTAACTGGATGTAGAATGCAATATTTGGTTTGTTTGCTATGATCTGTTTTAGTTAACAAAGTATTGATATAAAATTGAATACTGCGGACAGTATGATTGAGCAGAACAACTTTTAACTACTCTGTTGTGTGGAAAGTACCTATGAAACACATTCATAACATTTTAGAAATGCAGAAACTTCTGGGTCACAATCAGTGTGTTATTTTTCTTCAAACTATGTTATGGAGCAAGGATTGGCTCCCAGGATCGAAACTGGATATTTTTCAACAATGAAAACGTCGAAACGTCTCGATCATTTCTTGTGAGTTTTGAGTTTTTCGTTAGGAAACAAGACCAAAATTCACGATTCAAATGTTGAAGTGAACAAAATGGCGGCTGTTCTAATTCAAATTTTGTATCACGACATGCCCATATATAGGACAGAATATCGATGTTGCACTCTGGGAGCCATCCTCCTTGGTTATGAACAGTTAAAATCAAAAGATTCCTTCAAAGAATTATATCATAAAAATTGACTGGGATGATTTCATCCAAATTTCATCTTTCTCTAAGAGTTGCAATATATTGACACCATTAGGTAGCTCGTATATAAAAATGTAAATATTTATGTACAATTGTACATAATTTATGTATTGTAAATAAGTCGATTAATGACTGTGCAATATCTTATGATTTCAACCTTATAAAGATATATATATATTACATTCACACTCCGATTTAAAGGTCAGTATATTTATTATGAAATGAAGATTCCAAATTCAAATAACATACAGTAAAATCTGTCTTGTTCGAACAGAAATTGGCCAGCCCAAGTGTTCACATATTCTGGTGTTCACATTTCAAGGTTTTTTACATGTCACTCTTTGGAAGATTTCAAAATGGAATAAATTCACATTGAGACTGAGAGGTGTTCAGATTAGAGAAGTGTTCGTAAATACAGGCTTTATTGTATTAGCAAAATGAAATTACACTTGATCCAGATTTTGTTTTTTAACAAACCCAAAGAATTTTCACTAATATAATAATGGCAGTGATCTCCCCAGCATGAAAGCAAGTGGGTGCAGCACCCACCTGAGATTTTAAAATCAGGTCTGCACCCACCCAAGATTTCATTTGCACCCACTTGAAATTAAGAAAAATCATGTAAAATGGGCATATTTTGACCAATTTTGGACTGAATTGTGAAAATGAGAATTTTGCACACATTTGAGAAAAAATCCTGGGGAGAACACTGAATGGGTATTACAAGAGGAGGAAATATCCCACAATGTATAGATATAAAGATGCACCTCTTCACCTTTATATGGAGATAGGATCATCTATGAATTCTGGGATATTCTCTATTTTGGAAATGACATTAAGATGTCTCTTGTGCTGGTATACACATGTTTTCCCTCACATATAATTAAATGAGATGCATATTATGTTCCCTAAATTAAAATAAAATACACTAATTGACTTAATATATGTAAAATGCAGTTGGGAATAAAATGTTGTAAATATTGATTTTGAACTTTGTGTTTTTTGTTGTTATATAATCTGAGCATCAGGCATGCTAGAAATATGCATTGAGAAAATAATGTTGGACTTATTAAGATGAAGATTGGGACAGTATTGACTGATAAAGTTATTTGAAAATGGAGGTTACCATATTTATTTTTTCGCTAACACCTTCCGGTTTGCAGGTTTAATATTTTTTTCTCATGAAATGAAGATGGCAGATTACGTTGCATTCTCTGTCTGACCCCCCCCCCCCAATATCCGCCTTGCTTCAACTCCAAGTTTTTTAGAAAAGTTGTAAAATGCATGGAAAAAGCCATAACTGCATAAATTAAAGGTATACTTGTAGAAAACTTTTCACTGAATTCAAATATGCTATTAACATGATTAACATGTTAATGTGCAAATCTCACAAAAACTAGAATTACCAAGATTTTAATTAATTTTAAAGCTACATATAAATTCCTCTATTGACTAAACACCCAATTTTCAAATAAACTTAAACATATTGATTGAGTTTGATCGAGGATGAATAAAAGAAAGTTTAAAAACAACAATGTCCCCAACTTTTGCAGTTTACATCGCTTTTGTAATTATCTTGCAGGTTTGTAGCCAGGAGGGGGTTTGTTTTCTAAAAATTATAAGTGGTACAAAATTGTCACTGGATTGATTATAAAAATTGGTCCAATGGTGAAAATATGCAAGATATTGAAAGATTTTTAGGTTCACTCGAAACCCCCCTCCCCTCCTACAGGCATGTATCAAATCAATAATTGTGTCAACAGAATTAGAATTGCTAGTTTACAATGCTAAGTTGTAAATTAATAGTTATTTCAAATCATATCTTTCTTGTATCTGTGACAAAGACTGTAGTGTGGGAATAGGAGAATATTCCGAAAGTGTTGTGATATCACCTCGTGTTATTTGGTCACATGATCAGTCAGCAAGGTCATCATTTGCATATCAGACCGTACTCCATTTTGGGATATCATGACAATAAAATGATTAAATAGGATCAGATTCGCCTGTCGTATGGATTTTAACAATATCCACAAGGTTTGTAAAACATGTTTCTATATCTGTTCTATTGTCATGCCGAATTTCAATTACCGATTGGTAGTGTAAGGCACCAAATTATGTGTTTTAAAACGAACTTTTCACATAATTTTCAGATTCATTTGCAGTTTGCTGAAAAGCCAGCTGCTTTATTATCCTTGTGTACTTGCAAGGGGATTTAAATTTAACGCATAAATATCACAAACTCGAAGTAAGTTAAATGATATAAATGTTTGAAATGTAATGAGTGATAGCAGAAATGTCAAAACAGATCATCTGTCATTTTCAAATTAGGTCAGTGTATTGCTAATTGGCATCTAATTTAGAGTTCACTGCCCAGCAAAGGGGTGTAAGACTAGAATATAACAAGATCAAACTACACCAAGTATTGAGATTTTCTATTGGTATTTTATAAGAGCAAGTTTTGTTCTTAACTTGAACATATTATTCATTTTAGTCATACGAACACTACAATTTAATTTTTAAAGTTGTAATACAAGGAATACTAGATTGCTTGTTAACCCTTCCGCCCTCAACGTAAACCACTTATGGAACGATCCAATTAAAGATTCAATCAGGGTGAATAAAAGTTCATTCAAAATCAAATTTATCCGTGGATTAATATATAAGAATGCGCAAAGATAATAGTTTAAAGTGTAATTCTACGTAAAAGAAAAGCTTTAGCGTTTTATTTTCTGTTGATAACAAAAACCACGTGGAGTTTGTTGTATTCACTGCCCAAGGCCATTATTAACGCTAAGGCGCTGTTTATACTCACTCACAAATGGATCCAACTTTCGGATCATTGTTATTGCAGTGTATTATCGGTACTTAATAATTTTCAACTGGTATATGATTTGAAAATATTACATGTATATTCATAGTATTCAAGATTGATTTACAATTATTCGATAAACTTCACTTTTTCACTTTCTAATGAAACGATGAGTTAACGCAAATGTAAACAAACATCCTAGTACTACGATTTTGTGGTGTTATGAATGGACTCGACTATTATGTCACTTGACTTTCGGTAATATACATAAAAAAATTAATTGGCTAATAAAGATTTACATCAAACTTTTCGAACGTGTTATCATTAAATTAATGGTAATGAGTTTTCTTGTGATGCTTTCAACAAATATGCATTCGTTGATCATGACTATGGTTTTTATTTTACTTATCAATAGTCTAGAGTTATTTCTTGTCAAGTTCAAATTGATGGCTTTTTAAGGATTGTATAAAACTCCTAGTGTCAAATGCTACTGTACAATAAATATTGAATTAGTAACTATATAATATACAGGTAACTATGGTAACTTTGTTAATAATGAATTATGTGAGTCATTTCTTTGAGATAGTTATAATGACAAAGCTGAAACAAGCATAATATTAGTCACATATATGTCTAGGTAATGAGATAGCATCCAGTAAATAGGTACTCATCATTAATTATATTGATCAAATTCAAATCTTGAGCCCTAATAGCATTTCAAAATATAATGAATCAAGTATCTTAAGACCTACTACTACACATGTAAAGTACATTTTATGTAATTTATCCCATATTTGTCAAAATGTTAAACGTTGGTTATCTAGTGAAGAGAAAAATTCTTTGTGGCTGAATGAGATAAATTTTTCTTTTTGTTAGAGTTAGCATGCTGTTAAGAAAATTGTTTTGTTTTTTATCTAGAATATAGAGCAGTGTCTAGCCATGTAAACAAATTGAAAACGGATAGACACAGAAAGTGAAACCATGGGTGAAGTCTGTCAAACATCAAATTGTTGACTTAATTGAAGGATGATATTGTATTTAAGCTTTTTATCACTAAAACAGTGCATGAAATAAGGATTTTTTTAACCTAGACATTTTGGCAGGCCAACCAGATTTTAACCAGCCAGTATCATTTTTTCTCAGGCCAATTTTCAAGGAATATACCCCCCATTAAATTGAATGAAAGGCCTATGATTTGGCAACAGCAACTACCAGTTTTGCGATCTTACTTTGCTTGTGCAAAAAAAGCCAGCAGGCTTCTCTCATTCTAAAACGATCAAAATCACTTGAAAAGTGCTCAGAATGGTGAAAAACTGCATGTTTTTGATAGAATCGTTGGCCAGGGGGTGGGGTGTGTTCACTTGGACCCCCTGCATTCCTAGACTAGACCAATACTAAGTCAATAGAATGAGCTTTAACCTTCCAATCGCCAACAAAAAGTTATGACTTCCACAACATCACCTTGAATTGCTTCCCTATTAACAGACACAGTCCATGAGATAATCCTATTGATCATATGATAATCCTATTGATGTGATAATCTGTTAACTCATGTATCTGCATAGATTTTATCTTGAGAAATGTGTATTGTGTTAGAATACACATAATAGTTGGTACCCCTCCTACTAACAGTAACAGTTGAATATCCCCTGTTATCCAAAACTCTTCCCCCATGAGATAATCTTATTGGTCATGTGATAATGTATGAACTCATGTCCATATATCATATTATCTTGAGAAATGTGTATTGACTGTTAGGGTACACATTATTTTAGTAATTTAGCACTCCTCCCAGCAATTTTCTACAATGTGTATAAGAGTATGTGACCAGAGGTTTTAAAGAGATTATAAAGGTGATTTTTGGAAAAAAAGTTTCAACTTTCTCTGGTGTTGGGTTAATGGAGACAGTACAGATAAGAGCAAATAACTTTCTGTTTTGGCAAAGGGTTACAGACTTTTATTTTGTTGATTGTTTTTTTCATTGGCTGTTTGCAACTGTACTGTAGTATGTATTTATATCTATGAGAAAGTTCAGTTTTGTTTCTTTAAAAGAGAGTTTCATCTACAACCCAAATTAGAGATCATCCTTTGGTCTGGCCTTATCCAATCAGAATACTGAAGTAAAATCAAGATATACACCTGTAGTCCTTTACTAGGCTGGCACCACTCAGGGTAAAGGGGTAAAATGCCAAATCCTGTTGGGTTTTTAATATACATGTATGTCATATTAGATGTACTACATGTGTTTGTCCACATGTAGAGTTACCTTGATACTCATATGTGGACTGTACATGTGTGACCTAGCTAAATATAACTCATTGCTCTGAGCCAAATGCAGATAAAATAAAACATATGTTTCATATAACCATTCACCAGTCTCCATTTCATTCAACTGAAGGCCTGGATTTACAATACTTTTACAATATTTTTGTTGCTTGTTTTACTTTTGTAAAGAAGCAAAGTCTATGTGAGATATAGCTGGGAGGAGGTTAGGTTGCCATAACAACGGATCAAACAATGTATTCTTCCCCTCCCTCTCTGTGAATGTTCTTTAAATTTACACGATGGGAATTTTTATGATGATGTGAAAAGCATCAAATTATTATTTATTATTAATATATTATAGGTGCTGAAATACATCAATGGAGTCACGAGATGATGCTAAGGGCCAAGGGGGTAGTACTGAGGGGGTACCCCCTCACACAAAGCTCCCCTCCTTCATGGACCTTTCCCAACCACTGGGAAATCCCTCGTATATGCCTCAAAGACCAACACATGAGGTAACATCAACAGAATTTGCCAAACTTACAAATGAATCTATGAAAAGTCATGTTGATGAGATCATAGCTAAAGAAATAATGGGAGGTGGAGATACAGCTCGGGAAATAATGGGAGGTGGAGATACAGAAAAAATGAGAGGTAGAGATCCAGCCCATGAATTAATAGGAGGTGCAGAAATGATGATAAGTAGAAGAGATACAGCACAAGGTACTGATCAAAGATCACATGATCAGGGATCAAGTGGTCCTCGATCCCAGGATTCAAGATCCCACATTTCAGGGCTTCCCCTGGGACCCCCAAGACCAGCAGGTGGTGCTCAGGGGATCGTAGCAGGAGGCACCGATCCTGGGGGACACTGGTCACAATGGTATCAACAGCAGCAGATGTTTATGGCTGACGCCTTGGGGGATCAAGATGGCCAACATGTAAAGCCAACACCCACAGGGCCAAGGAAAAATAAGGTGAGTGGTATACGCATTTTGCAGGGAGGCTAGTGCCTCATTCCCAATTGTTGTTGTGATCTTGGTCACCTTAGGGCATCCATATGCATGCAGTCATAGGTTCTTGACAGATATCAATTACCAACGCAGATTTAATCATTCAAGATGACTGCAGTGGGACCCTACATGAAACTTACAGTGCTCGTATGGCCAGTCCGATGCTTCAAAAACAAAAATGTTTTAACTCCAGGGCTCTCCGCACATTGAAATCTCTGTGGCCCAGCAAAACCAAAATGCTCCTCAATGCAATTAGATGCGCCTCCTAAAATGTTACAATAAAAAATGTTGAAATTCTAAAATGTTACGCAAAAATTACAAAAAAGTAAAGTGTAGCTGCAATTACAAAATCATAAAATGTTGCACAAAAAGTTACAAAATACTTAAATGTCGCTTGGGCCAATGAGGGTACGATAGATTTTCTACGGCCACAATAAATCTGAGGATGTATGTTTGTATGACCCCGGAGCAAGTGACTTTAATACAGTTGCGTAATATTTATATTTATTTGAATACACAGGGGCATTTCGCAATTTAACCACAATCTAGCTAATTTTTAAGATTAAAGTCTTGCTCGCGTTTAAAGAATCATGTACAAAAATGCAGCCTCAGTTAGAAAAAAATGCGATTCAAGGGGGACATTTATCTCTTAGATTCACTCATCAGAACTCACAGACCACAATAAAGAGTGAATGAAATCCTTTTCTGACAATCATTTTGCCAGGAGCAACCATATTCTGTAGCACACTTAATAAAGTTCGTACATTTCTTAAGAAAAATCTGGATAAAGAAAAGACAAGTGTACAGCCTGTTCAATTAAAAACACCAATTTCTTTTAGTTGCTCTTCTTGAAGATTCTCATTTCCCAAAATTGAAAAGTAATGTCTGATAGCGGATTATGGTGCTAAATATAGACTTCCAATTCCAAAAATGAATTTTTAATATGACTTGAATGGAATCTTTTGTATGGAGGATCTGTCATGAATTCATACAGCATTATTTAGAAATACTATTTACTTGCGTGATGTTGAATGAGGGTTCCAGTATTGATCCAATGAATCGTCATGACGATTTTCATATTAATATCCTTTTACTTTGTGTACGTTAGTCTCAATGCTATTATAACAAGGTAATTAATAGCATTGTTTGCCATATGGCTTTCATGCTTAGGTAGGTGCATATTGCAAAGGCTTAACAAGGGGAAGAAAGTGATATTGGTGAGGAGAGTAAGAAAGTGATATTGGTGAGGAGAGTAAGAAAGTGATATTGCTTAGGTAGAAAGTGATATTGGTTAGGAAGAAAGTGATATTGATGACTACTTATGAATTTCAAACTTACCCATATCAACTGTCCTGTGATTGAGAGGAGGGGGGGTAAATGGCAGGGGGTAATGCCACAACAGAAATGAACTTGGTAATTTTGGCACTTTCTTAGATATAATTAATAACTTTCTGTATTGTTAAATCTTGACAAAGATTAAAATCCAGTGAATTCCCCATTCATTCAAGAAAAAATCATAGAACCAGAACCAGAAACTCAAAATGAAATGTAATAAAATAAAATATGCCATCCTCATCAGTCTCAGTCAGTTTGTACCATATTGCTCCAATAAGAAGTGTGCCAGGTCACTGTGAAGATGAATATTGTAACTGTAATGCTGCAAATCCTTATGCAGGGCTTGCATTAACGGCGTCCCGTACATGTTAAGGACTCAAAAATAATTTGGAGGACACAAAAATTGAAAATATTTCCGTTTTTTGGACGCAAAATTTTTTAAGGTCAATACTACAATGTGTTTACAACGATACCTAACAAAAACAAATAATTATGATCTCTCACCTTTATTTGAATCGTAAATAAGGCTCAACATGTTGAATATTTACAAATAATCATGATTCTCTCGAATTTTTTCGACACGCCACAGTTTTTCCTGTTCAGAAAAAAATATTAGGTTATTCATGAAATAGAATGTATTCATTGTCGAATGAACGAACATGCATTTATTCAGTCCGTACTTAACGTTTACTTCCGTTTTAAATTCGTGGCAAGAAATCAAAAACTGAAAGGTATTTTGGTAAAAAATGCTTTTAAAATAAAGTTATACCTCAAAACAGGCTAGAAATAGGGGACACACTTTTTTTCAAAGGACACACTTTTTAAAGAAAATTGCGTCCTTGGGACTCACAAATTTTCTAACCTAATGCAAGCGCTGCTTATGCTATCATGCTATTCATCATTTTGATGATACCTAAGTGTCTGCTCTCTGTGATTTATGAAGATTTGTATGCAGACTCAGGTCCAAGCAGTATAGATCTGTGCATATTATGTTTTAATCTCAGCAGGGGTCTGGCCAGTGGCCAGAATCTTGAAGTTGGTGAGGCAGATTTAAAATATTGAGGCAAATATGAGTTTAAAGGGGCATAATATCACAAGACTTCATTTTCACAGTTACAATTTTAAAAATGCATGAATTTTCGTTTTTCGTTTTCTGTCTTCTGCAAAATGTTGTGTGAGGCAGTTACTAGATAGCCTATAGTGCTTATAAAGAGAACATCTATGGGAAAAGGCAGAAACTGTTACATTTCCATGATGAGACCATGGCACAAGCAGATGTTCTAGTACACCTTATTGGTGATTTAGGGAATTTGGCAAAAAACATGAAAAATCTGGACATATTTTAACAGAATTCTTTGTGGGAGTGGGTGAAATGTGAATTTGCACCTTCCTTTTGTGAAAGTTTGACTTCACACCTCTTTTTAGGACTTTTGAGGTCCTGCTCACTGAAAGCTTTTGGCATGATTTCAACCCTTGGCCCTGAGTTAAAAACTTGAGAAAACATGGAGTAAGGAAACTGTTTATCTTCATGTGTTTCCACTTCCCTGCATTTTGCTGAACTGGAATCTATTTAATTGATTTGCCTGTTGATATAAGCTGCTTCTGTTTGCAATACTCAAATCTCAACTATCTATTACCTCTGGCAAACTTCCTTACATATCCATGTATACATATCAATCTTTAACTCTTTTTTTGGTACAAGGCTGGATGTTACAGTTTGCTGCTTCAACTTGTATATTCTCTTGAAGGCTCTTGAAATATGATAAACATAAATGTGTAATAGTACTTTTTCCTCAACTTAGTCTATGCTGATTCTGTGATTCTGGTATACTCTAAAGATAGATAGAGTCGAAGCGTTCCTTTAGAACATATTATAAATTTACACCATATAGCAAGTTAACTGCAGTACCTGTACATCTGAGCTTCCTAAAATGTAGAGATTTATGCAGGATACATAGGGATAAGCTCTACGATGTAGATTTTCTACATCAATTTTGTTAAGCTACACTTAACGTAGATATAATATGACTGAGGCTTTAGTAATTACACATGTTCATCAAACTTCATAATAGTTTGTTTCTGCTTATCTACCTAATTACTCGGCTTTGATAATCAGGGTAGGAAATAATGCTCAACTTCAGCCAATTGCTGTAGCTCTGCATCGGACTGTAATACATGTACCTATAAGCTCATAAATCCACTAAGCTTCACATGTAGTAGGCACAATGTTTGCTTGTAGTCCCAAATCTAGTGCTTAATTTTATCTATAATAGATTGATTATGTACAACCTTTATATGACCCTTGCGCTGTCTCCCATAATGATTTATGCTGTCTGTAGCCTAACACCTTGCTGTTTTCTGGGGACAAAGTTCACCATTCTTAGTTACCTTCTAGTTTACTTAGCAATGGCATTATGTGATATTAGGCTTGTGGTAGCATTAGTAGTTAAAAATAGCCCAATGGGAATCCCAGAAGGTTATTATGTTGTTGCGTTGCACTCAATTGACCTTTGTTAGCCAATAATGTTTTGAATCGTTCTCAAAAGTTATGTGATTTCGCTTCATGGTTTAAAGCGGCCTCGCTATAAATAGGGGAATCCCATGTGCTAGTTTTCGCTTTACTATCGATGTAACTAGCTTACTACGATTTGTTTTGACCGAAAGATATTTTTATTCGGCTTTGTAAAATGTAATTACTTTCCGGGTTACATAAAGGATCGAACAAGTTATGAAACTAAACATGATAAGATCTTTCAATTAACGTAAATAACTTGGTTTGTTCGATCATTATAAAAATTATTTTTAGTTCGAATCTACTTGTGACACGATAAAAATACTCAGAAATTTAGTTTCACATTTAAGTCATATTGTAGGCTCAACATTGATGTTAAATTTCCTTGAACTAAAAATAGAACTATAAAACGATGTTAAAACTACAAAATACAAGTGTAGAAATAATGTATTGAAGCATTACATATTGTATTTCGATATTTCTTAAACAATCTCGGAGAAGTTTATCAAAATTTTAGCAATTATTAGTTTCTTTGTGCTGTTAATCTAATGGATAGTGTAGTCGGCTCTGCTTTATTTTACAATACAATATCTTGAACATTGAATCCTACTACGTGATGGTCTGCACATATACTCCCGACAATTATCCTCTGATAAGAGCCTGCGTTATTATCACAATTTAAACCTGTATTCATAGAAACATTTTCATTATTTATAACAATTTGTGACTCATTGGCTGTCCTGACTAGGATTTAACCTGGTTGTAGTCACTGATGTTTTACAAAGAATGGTGTTTTAGCGATTCTGTTTAGATAATCGATCAAAAATTACATGTGAATCAAAAGTAATTGCTAAAGCTGAGATTCATCAGTAAGTATGAATTTAAGAATTTATTTTAAATCAATCAGCGTATGTTTAGGAATATGAATATTAAATATGTTGATATTTCTCGATTGAAACATGCATATTAACATGTAGGCCTGCTTTTCACATGCATTCAGATTTTGCATTTTTCATGAATTTTTAAGAATACATTTGTCTTTCAAAAAGTCAGCAATTTTCATCACTCCATTTAAATTAAGAAAAAAACCTTCATCTGGTGAAGAATGTTCTGCTTT